AGAGAGAGAGAGAGAGAGAGAGAGAGAGAGAGAGAGAGAGAGAGAGAGAGAGAGAGAGAGAGAGAGAGAGAGGTTGAATGACAAAATTGAAATGTGCGTCAAATTGCACCCGCGATCTATTTCACAGTTGAAGTGATTTTTTTTTTTTTATTGAGCGTTTTTCTTGAAAATATTACAATAAAATCTACGAGTACCCCAATTTTCTGTTTTTTTCACGCATTCTTCTGAGCGCGAAAACTCACTGAATTTGAAGTACTTTTGCAGTTGGCCTACATATGGTTGAGTGGCAAAAATGGAAAATGTCCCGAATCGGTTCGACGATTATTTCGCAGTTTAAATGATTTTTTGAAAATGTTCTAATATTTTTCCTTGAAAAAGAATCCCCTCATCTATGGATTCTCAAAATTTCATATTTTTCTGTAGGTTTCTCCGAGTACAAAAAATCGCTAAAGTTGCCTTTTGCGAAATGTTTGTTTAATTGTGCCTGACCTCCCTATTTTGAGAAGACAGGCCTCAACGCCTGGGCCTGATGGCCCTTTTGCAATTCACATGCCCTCACTTCTTTTTTAGGTTCACTTCCACGAGAGGACCGGTCCTTCCTTTTTCCAAAAGTCCCGGTTCTACCCGAGTTAGCTGTAGGTAATCCGCAATTTCGTCAACGACTGGTCCCCCCAAATTCCCCCCCCTCTAACAACCCACTTTGCGCCCTGGTCGCCAGTCGTCAAAAATGCGACACCTTGACACAGACGCCGAACCCTACTAGACCGCAACCTTAGGGCTGCGGATATAAAAAAACACTCGGATAAGAAAAAACAAATGTTACAGGACTTCCTCCTGCACATCTAACTGCTGGACCTGTGGTGCTCAACCTCACAATCTGCTCAGGTTTCCTTATCAGAGTGACTAAAGCACGTAAAGGGGTCTGAAAAGCAGCAAAATGGGATATGCCAAGGATTTTTGGAAAATTGAGTGTAGCAACACGAACGTAATTGAGATCTCTTGTGTGGTCCCAGATATGTGGCGATGAACGAAAGTGGGGAAAGGGAGAGGAGAGTCATTTCCCAATAACTATTTAATCAAAAAAATATCTTTGAACTTCGTCGCACACAGGCGTCTTTTTTCGGGCCGAAAAGGAGGGATAACGCACATCGGATCTCCGTTTCGAACGAGAGACCGATGATGCTCGTCGCAAAGTTTGGAATATGAGTCAGAGAGCCGCAATCTCACTGCTTTCTTTTGGAACTCATCGCCACATGTCGAATAATTGAACTCTTTGACTTGAAAGCGCTCCATGCAACGACAATCGCTGCACACCGTGCGAGGCCAATGAGGAGCACCTGTAGACACGCGATGATGATAAACTCGTTGAAGGGAAGCAACACGGAGTGGGGAGGGAAATGTGTTCAACAATCACAAAACCTGAGTTAACAAATCATAAGCATCGTGTTTCAAAAGGGAAGTGATAAGGACCGCCGATCTTGGCGATGGCTTCTCATACGTCCCACTTGTAGACACGTGGACTATCCTCATTGTATGAGAGAGATCGTGAGCGGGGAGGTTCAAGAAGTCGCTCCTCGATGACTCTGGTGGGTCAATCTACATGACCGACACACACGCATCCACCGTTCACAAAACAAAATGATAACTCCCCATTAATTTCGGGAATCGCCTTCGCGAGGGAACAT